GTAAGTGAGTTGGCATTACAGAGTTGTACTAGTGTACATATGTTATACTGTACTTTTTCAGTTGTACACATAGAAGCTCTGAAAAAAACCATTGTCCTTTTACAGTAATCATACAAACATAGGAGAAGTTGTCCATTTTAATTGGCACATCTCCATCTGACTCAATGGGAGAGATAATTGACGATCATATGTCATACTGTACTTTCACAGTTGTGTATGTAGTAGTAGCAGCAGCAGCAGTAGTTATGCATGCCATATGGTCATAGTAATCATATAACATGGGAGAATATAGCAGTTTTAAATTACATATCCCAGTCTGACTCAATGAGAGACGTAATTGGTGATGTGTGAACCTCAGGCTTTTCTGCCAGTTTGCATGATAATTTCTGTAATGTTCCTTTTATTAAATATGACCTCTGACCCCTTAATTTCCTCTCTGTCACTCTCTGTGACACGGTCAGCCAAGCCAGCCTAGCGTGACACGCCTGAGCCAGTTCTCCACTGACTGATCTGTTCCAGTGGTTTATCCCGTATTAGCTGATCTGTCCAGGGGATGGTCAGAGGGACGGTTTCCCCTTCACAGATTAAGCCTAGTCATGGACTAAAAACCATGCTCAAGGACTAGGTTGAATTTGTGTGGGGGAAACCGACCCAGAGAGTGTTAAGGCAAAGTATTAATGCTTAGTACTGCTATGCTAACTGGCTGGCAGAGATGAGATGGGATGGGATTGGGTGAGCAGAGCTGAGCTGGGAAGGGAAGGACAGGGCAGGGCAGGAGAGAGGAGGGGAGGGGAGGTCAGGGCTGGGATGGGCAGGGTAGGAGAGGGCACACACAGAGGTGAGCTGACCCCCTCTGATACCTCACACTGTCCTGTAGAGTCATAACTGCTGTGTACTGTACACTGACAAAGGTCACAGAGAGAGGGGGGACAAAGGGACAGATGCATAGTAGGAGGGGGGAGAGAGGAAAAGGGAAGGAGGAAAGAGAGACTGAGGGTGAGAGAGAATGGGAGACTGAGTCTTTTATTTATATCAGCATACTTCATTACTGAGAGGACAGAAATAGCCTATATAACACTGTGGATATTTTGGGTTGTGATGTAATATCTTCTATCTCACAGCTAAGCCTATAGGTAGAGCACTACCCAAGTATTGTGATGCTCTTTTGCCCCAGCCCCAGCTAGCACACCTGAATCCAATAATAAACTAATCATGATCTTCAGTTTAGAATGCAATTAGTTTAATCAGCTGTGTTTGCAAGGGATGGGAAAAAAGTGTGACACCACTCCGGTCACATGAACCAAAACGCTGTCTAATTCTATTATTTGTTGAGTCAAATTGTGGGAATTATTAAAGTGAGGATTCAAAATAGTCACAAGGTGATGGGAGAGAGGGGATATGATAAAAGTATGGGGTCTAGAGTACTGGTGTGCCATCCTTCTGCTGTGGCAATGGCTGTGGTTCAGGGCCTGTATGCAGGGCCGGCCCTGGGCATAAGTAACATAAGCGGTTGCTTAGGGCCCCGGCAGCTAATCGAAATTGGTAGTGCATCAGCAGTTTTTCTCTTGTAATGTCAGTCACTCAATTAACCCATGTCAGCAAACATTTTTTTTTTTTTACATTGATAGGCATCTATCTACACCTTATAGTAATCATGTCCATATTACTGACCAGGCACGCAGGGCATGTGCCTAGGGGCCCTGACCTTCAGGTGGCCCCCATTGATTTTGTTAGTCACTCTCACTCAGGTATCATATGAACAAGGGCATAAGTCATGGTAAAATGACTAGAGTTGCATGAAATTAGTTTTAAAACTGCAAAAATGTATATCCACCGCATGGCACAATGAGTAGAATTGCATGAAATGTGTTTTAAAACTGAAACATTTTCTCTACGCCCAATGGCAAAATGTGTAGAATTGCAGGAAATTAACTTTAAAACATCATTTGTTCTCTTCGGCATCAAGAGGTGGACCACTAAAATGCTTTACCCGCGAGGTGGGGGGCTCCCAAACCAAATCTCGCATCTCAGAGTAGGAGTGCAGATCTAGGATCAGGCCCCCCCTGTAATCTTATTCATTGTGCGCTTGAAGGCAAAACTGATCCTAAATCAGCTGAGAAGCGAGATTTGGTTTGGGAGCCTATATGGCCTATAGCAGGGTTTCCCAAATTCTTGTTTTTGCCCTACCACTACACGGCTGATTCAAATAATGAGTGAGTGAGTGAGTGAGTGAGTGAGTGAGTGAGTGAGTGAGTGAGTGAGTGAGTGAGTGAGTGAGTGAGTGAGTGAGTGAGTGAGTGAGTGAGTGAGTGAGTGAGTGAGTGAGTGAGTGAGTGAGTGAGTGAGAAAGAAAGAATCAATCCACCCGAACCTGTATCTCAGAGGTAGGCAACCCTGGTCCTGTTGTGCTGCAGGCACTTCATGTTTTTGATTTAACCGACCTGGAAGACCAGGTGTGTTGAATTTAGGCAATCACTGAACTGATCAATTAGCTCAGTTGGCCAGGTGTGGTGCCTAGTTGGAACAAAATCCTGCAGTACCTGCGGCACTCCAGGAACAGGGTTACCTATCCCTGCTGTGCTTGTTCTTTTGCCTGTAACACCTTCAGAAATCATTTTTGGTGACAATTTTAGGCACACATTCCAGCACGAAATTAGTCGCCAACTGTTGGGTAATTCATTCACACAACACATCTAAATTGGGTTGTGACATTTATGTGATATTTCACTGCTATTTAATGAAGAACAGTATTGCCTTAGGACTACTGTCCCTTTAAGACAGTTTGATGTACCAGCAACACCGAAAGCAGCTACAAGATGGTGCCAGAGTCTTCCACATCATCAGTTTTAGATGATACTGTAAACGCAGTGTTGATGATGATAGGGGCTCGCTTTGGGGACTTTTGAATAAAGCCTGGGTTTGTGTTAAAATCGTTTATGTGTTTTAATGCACTTTTTTGCATTATTGGATGATATATGCTTGTTATCCTTATTGTGTGCCCTATTACGCATATGTACGACCCTTATTTGCCTATCTCACCTTAATATGCCCACCACAACCTCTGATCAACTTCTGAACTGGGGGAGTGTTTGAATCAAATCATAATGAACTTTAATTGCATGAGGTTGTTCATTTAATTAAGGTCAAGTTGATTAATTCTCGGTACCTTAACATCTCGGGGTCCGTGTGGGGTGTGGGAATGAGAAATGTCACCTGCCGCGGCCCGGCATAATTGCCACGTTCATAACAACTCGGAATTTGGGAATCTCCAACTTCCGACCTCAGTGCGTTCAAAACAACTGGGAACTCATGAAAAAAAAACGATCTCCGACTGGAAAAAATCTATTTGAATGGTAGTTCCAACTCGTAGTTCCAACTCGGGAATTCTAGAGCTCCGACTTTCCGACTTGAAGATCACTGACTTCATGATTTGACCTCATATTTTTCCGAGTTCCTAGTTTTTTTAAACTTGGCAATAGAAGCGCTCAAGCATCTTGCGACCAGACAAGTGGGGCAACCTTATCGGGAACTGCTCTTTCCCCTATCTCCTCCGTGGGCGCGACTGAGGACAATAACGGAGCGCAATCCGAGATAATACCAGCCAAGCAGTCACGGGCCTCCGGTGGGACGGGGAAGAGAGTCTCGAACCTGGCTGACATCAATACCTTTGCGCGTTGATTGCGTTGCTATACACACTAAGAAATGTGGGTTCCTCAAGGGTACTTTGGGAAAGGTGATGGTTCTATGTGGAAACATAATTATTTAAATAACCCTTCGAGCTCTTCAATGGTTCTTTACAGTTCACAAAAGGGTTATTTGCTCTTTTAGTGATCATTAAAACGTAGGGGAGCGGCTCATAAGAATATTTTGGGGCAAGGTTTGCGACCAGCTCTTTTTGTGCAACCGTGAGTGAGAGTGTCATTCCAATTTATCTAATGTGTTGTGTTATGGCATTATATATGACTATGGCCAGTAAATATGGCCAGTAACGGTGTTTTGTGTTAATTGAGAACGGTTGCCTGATCAAGCCGTGGGTATCAAGTTTCCGTAGCTGTTCCAGAGGGAGTTCACTTCATTCACCTTGTCAATTAACACAATAATAACACCTAAGGAATTTTAGCAGTATGATATGGCTGACAAGAATATACAAAATAAAAAACGGTGGTTCTTCAAAATGATCTAGAAAGAATCTTTCAGATTGAGAAAGATTATTTATGGAACCGTTCTCCATAAAGTTATATAAAGATCCATAATAAAGGGTGCTATATAGCCCCAACAATGGTTGTAGCCATAGCGTAACCCGTTTTTGGTGCATTATAGAAAACATTTTAATGTTTCTTTTGGAACCTTGGGAAAGGTTTCTTTATAGCACCGTACAGGTTCCATTTAGAACCTTCAAAAAATTGTTCTGTATAGCACCAAAAGGGGTTCCGCTATGATTACATGCCAAATAACCCCTATCTGGCAGTATTTACATCCATTTTTTTGTGTGTATAGATCCGAAGGCACGTCCTCCCTCTTTCTCCTTTTGGAACAGCCTGTATGTAGTCACTCGCACTTATATTCACGGAGCGCACGAGGCAGGAGGCGGACTGAGGGCGTGAACGAAAGAGGAAGGGAGAACGGGAACGCCACCAGAGCGCGGGACAGCACACAGAGAGAAAGCCCTTTGAATTGAATTGAAAGAGATAGGCCTATCCATCCAGATTTATCCATCTCTAACCCACTCCTCAATCTCACTTTCTCCCGACAATCGGGTCTGTCCGATTGGCTTTATTCTCATTAACCTGATCCAAACCTGCTCCTCCGAGCTTTTTCCAGCTCCGAACCCTTCCGCCATTCACAAGTGATGTCCAAGAAACGACCGTCCGAAACGGGGTTACGGGTGTTACACCAGCAGGCTATGGCTTCACCAGGCAACATGGATTGCCTTGCTCGTTTCTCGCCGGATTGTGCTGAAATAGAATGAAGCTAGTTTGGGTTAAACGCGGAGTGAAGAGATGTCGGTACCGTTGTTGAAGATCGGTGTAGTGCTGAGCACCATGGCGATGATCACTAACTGGATGTCGCAGACGCTGCCCTCGCTGGTGGGGCTCAACACCACCAAGATCACCGCGGAGAGGGCAGGCTACCCGGACAGGAGTACCGGAGTAAGTGTCACCACAACTTTTCGCTTCTCGCGGCTTCATTTTGGCTGCATATTATTTTCTCAACTATTATTTTTCATTTTATTCGCTCTCATTGGTTCATTAATTATTAAACATATAAAAGAGCTTCTCTTAAAGCTCTTTTTTTTTTTTTGGATTGACAGTGTCACTAGTATTTTTTTATGTTGTGCTGTCTATATTTCCAGCGCTTGGCTGGCTTTCAGATCTTAAAGCAAATGGAATTTCAGAGGCATGATTGATATCGCATCTCTCAGCTTGATATCACTCGAGGGAGATGGAGAGAGAGATAGCCTAGTTGTAGGTTACTGTATTTTCGAGGTGGGGCGGGGGAGCGCGCTGAGAGGTGTAGGAGAACAAGGGAGCGCGGTGGAAACTGAGAGCGTTAATGGACTTGGATGCTGTCATTGATAAAACGCTGCAAGGTGAAAATTAATTGAAAAGGACATTTCGCAGCCAGACCTTTAAAGTGAAGACAGCTGTGTTCATATTTGTCCCCGGCATTCAGGCACCCTCAGTGGGGTCTCTGATTCTCTAAACATCGAATGAAAAGCGCACCAGATAAATCATTGGGTCCTGTTATTACTTGGGGTACAGGGCTTCTTCTCGTTGTATCTTTGTCAAGCACTATCTGACCTTTTGGTTAATCGAAGAAAATGTAATTATTATTAAACATAAATAGCTAACACTTTGTGAAATATTTTGTGAAACCTATAGAATGATTTTTCAATGTGATTTTACGCAATGAGGTTGAGTAAGAAACTATTCATAAAACGCACTCCTTCATGGTTTACATTTTTGGCAAAAAGCTATTTGATTAAAACATAAACAATTTCAATAATGTCTTAATATATATATATATATATATATATATATATATATATATATATATATATATATATATATATATATTATCTAGTCTAATATAAAGGCTGCACTGTAATGTAGGGGCGACATATTAGAGTATAATTTAACAATAACAATATAATTTGGCTGACCAGAATAAAAAACCCTGTATTGTTTTCCGAAAGGATTTACAAATGACCTTTCATGTTGAGAATGGTTCTTTATATCACCATACATGTTCCATTTAGAACCTTATTAGCATGGTTCTTTATTGAACCTTCAAAAAAGGGTTCTATATAGCACCAAAAAGGGTTCCGCTATGGTTACAAGCCAAATAACCCCTATCTGGTATTATTTAGAACCTTTATTGTCTTGTGTGTAGTTGAGCATCTACCTTTTCACTATATTCAGTCAATGCCTCTGTGAAGGGAATATGGAAAGGTTGCCAGTTGGCTTTAAACATTCAAATTAATTTACCACATTTTAAGTCAATTGTTGGTGATCTCTTTGGTTCCCTTTAGGGCTATAAGGTAGGGATGTATGTAGGGATAACTGAAACTGCATCCAAGCACTATCCATTCACTCTCAGCAGCCACCTGACATTTTACTCAGATTAATATTCACTATTGGAATAGGCTTCTCTTGCACCCTGGTCATGATGTACAGTCGAACTATGGATTGTGGAATGAGTGTGTGGATTCAGGATCAGGACGCTGTTGGCTTTTATGTACAGTAGTAATGAAAGTGCTATGATTTCAGATTAATCCTGCAGATATGTAATGGCTCAGGTATAGAGACTGAATGGAATGGAAGTGCAACGGTTTCAGATGAACAATGCAGATATGTATTGGCTATTTCCTATGTTCATGCCTGTAGATACATGTACAGATGGAGCAGGAGTCTTTGGCTGACAGGCTTTGTGATTACTAATTTCTAAGCTATCTGCATTCTAAAAAGTGCTGTGTTAAAAACAACCCAATTTGGGTAAATATTGGACGGAACACATATTGGGTTATTTTGACCTAGCCAGTTGGGTCACAAACAACCAATTGTTTTCTTTAAGTTGGGTTGTTGATGCTGGGTTATTGAGCTATGATCCACCCGGTCAGATCAGAAGACTAGAGGCGTGGCTTAGTAGTGCCGTGGCTTTCCGGTAGTTATCTTTGGCCAACCGTGAGAGTGAATGTCATTCCGGTTAATCAGTTCTGTTGTATTGTCAAATACTTATTAGGGTTGAGTCAGTGAAAGACTCGGTGGAGAATCGGCGAAGCTGTTGTCTGTCCTGCTGAGTTTTGATGTAAGTCTTTCCATGACAAGTTCAAGTTAGGATGTGTTAGTTATCCTGTGAGAGCTTTTGTTCTGTAAATACTGTGGTGTATTAGGATCCAAGCTCATGGTTATGTTGCAGAAGTGTGTAGGAGGGAGATTCCTACATGTGACAAGTGTGCAGGAGGGCATGAGACGAAGGAATGTGTAGTATCGGTGGAGAAAGTTGTGTGTTAGATGTGGCGGTATCTATGGGGCTGGAGATCGGAGATGTCCGGTGAGCCAAAGGCAGGTTGAGGTTGCCAGGGTCAGAGTAGTACAGAAAGTGTTATATGCTGAAACAGTGAAGAGAATGGTAGAGGAAGATGGGTACATGGTGAGGGATCCTGAGAGGATTTCTGTGAGTATGCAGAGACCAATAGAGAGGGATGTGAATAATATGTGCTTCAGTAAGGTGGGTTTCTAGCACCGTGGTTGTCAACTGTACTGCGAAATGGAGCGTGAGTAACAGAAAATAGAGGTTGTGGTGGCAGCTGCAGAGAAGTACTTGGGATTGTGAGGTTTTACTGCAGAAGATTTGCAGGGGGTGTTGAGTGGTAGTTATTTCCTCCCAGACCTTTGGCCTGGAGTAGGATTAGATAGGGTTAAATGGTAGAATGGGGTGGTGTTTTTTTTAGTGAGGGCTAATAGTTGGCAGGGTAATTTTCTTTTTCCTTTTTCCCAATTTTGTATTACCGGAAGTTAATGTAGGTAGGCCGTGACTGGCCTCAAACTCCAGTACAGTAGGTGGCAGTGTATGCACCTAAAAGTTGGATGCGACCCGCCAACCCAATCCCAACGAAGAAGAAGAAGAAGAGTCAGTGAAAGTAACTTGAATTGGACTTGTGATGATTTCTTGCATTTCTTCCGTCCAGAGGACACGGGCGCTCACAACCACGCACCTTGGGACAAGAACTGTGACTTGTTTTTCGCTCTGGAGCAGGGTGCCATCGAAGGGAGTGATGGTGTTAAGTGTTGAGGAGGATCAACTGAAATGGAAGATCCAGGTGTATGTGATGCCCGCCATTTGGTGCGACGCAGACCCAGTGGAGAGCGTGGTGAAACAGAGAAGAGACTGTCTGTCCTGCTGAGTTTTGATACAGAGTCTTTACCCGATAGCCATTGTTATCAACTGTACCGCAAAAATGGAATGTGAGTCACGGAAAATACATGTGGTGGCAGCTGCAGAGAAGTACTTGGCGTTACGAGATTTTACTGCAGAAGAGTTACAGGGAGTGTTGATTTGATAGTGTTCTGTCATCCCAGGCACTCGGCCTGGTGCAGGATTGGAAAGGGTTAAAATAGTGGAATGGTGTGTTTTTTTTTTTAATGAGGGTTAATAGTTGGCTCTTTTTTTTGTGTGTGTAAGCCTAATTAAGCTACCTACAAAAGTGTCCATGCTCAACCTTAACATGTGGTGACTATACAACAGAACAGATCAACTGGAATGACATTTACTCAAAAAAATTACTATCTGTAAGCCATGCCCTGACTAAGCCATGCCTCTAGTCTTCGGCTCTGACCTGGTGGATCATAGCTCAATAACCCAACTAAGTCAATCAAATGGATGGGTCAAAAATAACCCAACGTGTGTTCTGTCCACTATTTACCCAGCACTGGATTGTTTTTAACCCAGCATTTTTTTGAGTGTGGACAGAGATATGTCAATCAACACTGTTGTCAGATCCCTATCAGATTGTGGTTCATTGGTTGTGAGACCAGCATCAGCACCACATTCAGTATTCATTAATGACCTCACTGCATACCCAGTTTAGCCCAGTCTCAATGCAAACTGATTGGACTATGTTCATTGTTTAATCTTGACAATCTCACACCTCATACTCGTATTGTTAAATAGTTGGACACCAATAACTTTGATAATGTACACATACATGAGTATTCCGACATCTTGACCAGTTCGATTGGCTGCTGTTCCCCTCTGTTGCCATTTGATGATTGGATGGAGCGGGCTGGGAGGTTGGAGGAGTTCAACGATTCTCGTCATTGCCATATGTCCCCGTGCGTAATCCTGTGTTTGCATGCCTCCCACAGACAGACATTATGTAAGCGCTCATTGTGGAGAGAAAATAAACATGTAATAGTGAGGGTTTAACCACTCCAAATGGTGCGATACGTCACCACAAGCCTAGAGTGGATGTTTGAAATGTGCTGCCAAGCTAAGCCTATGCAGTCAGAGAGCAGGCGGGGATAGATGGGGTAGAATAAGTTATTTGTTCAACAAATCCCTGACAATTGGATTATAGGATGGATGCTTTTGTTATTCTCTTGTCTCATCTGTTTTTTCTGTTTTTTTCCCCCTCTCTATCTCTCTCCTCCAGGTGTTGCCAGCGAACCCAGAGGAGTCGTGGCAGGTGTACAGTTCAGCCCAGGACAGTGAGGGGAGGTGTGTGTGCACCGTGGTGGCACCGCAGCAGTCCATGTGTTCACGAGATGCCCGCACCAAACAGTTGAGGCAACTGCTAGAGAAGGTAACTACACTGAACAAAAATTTTAAACGCAACATGCAACAATTTCAAACATTTTACTAAGTTTATATAAGGAAATCAGTCAATTGAAATACATTAATTAGGCCGTAATCTATGTATTTCACATGACTGGGAATAGAGATATGCCTCTGTTGGTCACAGATACCTTAAAAAATAAAGGTAGGGACGTGGATCAGAAAACCAGTCAGTATCTGGTGTGACCACAAGTTGTTCAGGATGTTGATCGTGGTCTATGGAATGTTGTCTCACTCCTCTTCAATGGCTTTGCGAAGTTGCTGGATATTGGCGGGAACTGGAACACGCTTTCGATCCAGAGCGACCCAAACATGCTCAATGGGTGACATGTCTGGTGAGAATGCAAGCCATGGAAGAACTGGGACATTTCTGGGACAGCTTCCAGGAATTGTGTTCAGATCCTTGCGACATGGGGCTGTGTATTATCATGCTGAAATGAATGGCATGACAATGTGCCTCAGGATCTCGTCACCGCTTCTCTGTGCATTCAAATTGTGTTCGTTGTCCGTAGCTTATGCCTGCCCATACCATAACCCCACCGCCACCATGGGGCACTCTGTTCACAACGTTGACATCAGCAAACTGCTCGCCCATACAACGGCATACACACTGTCTGTCATCTGCCTAGTACAGTTGAAACCGGGATTCATCACTTCTCCAGGGGCCATCGAAGGTGAGCATTTGCCCACTAAAGTTGGTTACGACGCCAAACTGCAGTCAGATCAACACCCTTGTGAGGACGACGATCACGCAGATGAGCTTCCCTGAGATGCTTTCTTACAGTTTGTGCAGAAATTCTTTGCTTGTGCAAACCCACAGTTTCATCAGCTGTCCGTGTGGATGGTCTCAGACGATCCTGCTGGTGAAGGTGCCGGATGTGGAGGTCCTGGGCTAGCGTGGTTACACGTGGTTGTGAGGCCGGTTGGATGTAATGCCAAATTCTCTAAAACGACGTTGGAGGTGGCTTATGGTAGAGAGATGAACATTCAATTATCTGGCAACAGCTCTGGTGGACATTCCTGCAGTCAGCATGCCAATTGCGCGCTCCCTCAAAACTTCAGACATCTGTGGCATTGTGTTGTGTGACAAAACTGCACATTTTAGAGTGGCATTTTATTGTCCCCAGCACAAGATGCAGCTGTGTAATGATCATGCTGTTTAATCAGCTTCTTGATATGCCATACCTGTCAGGTGGGTGGATTATCTTGGCAAAGGAGAAATGCTCACTAACAGTGATGTAACAAATTTGTTCCCAAAATTTGAGAGATATGCTTTTTGTGCGTATAGAAAATGTCTAATCTTTTATTTCAGCTCATGAAACATGGAACCAACACTTTACATGTTGTGATTACATTTTTGTTCAGTATATTATTACTTAATGTCCACAGCAACACCAACCAATGGCCTGTCAAGTCTTACCTCACAGACTCAAGAGTAATTATTCAACTCACCCAGACAAGGCACTACTGCAGCATCCTGCTTGAACTTGTTCATCCCAAATCTCTCCCCCAGAAAAAGTTATTGGGTTATTTAGCATTGTTTTCTTTAACATTTGTTGACAATACAACAGAACAGTTAAACCGGAATGACTTTTCCTCTCACGGGTGGCCAAAAATAACAATTTGCAAGCCACGCCCCTACTAAGACACACCTCCAGTCTTCTTATCTGACCTGATGGATCATAGCTCAATAACCTAGCATCAACAACCCAACTTGGGTTGTTTGTGACTCAACTGACTGCGTCAAAATAACCCAACATGCGTTCTGTCCAATATTTACCCAAATTGAGTGTAGCTACACTGTAAAACCATGCAACATGTGACACGTTTATAACTTAAACGTCAGTGTTTAAAACTTAAACATTAGGCATTTAGATTTGCCAATAAGTGTTCTCATAAACACAGGCGTTTAGAATGCAAGATTAAACATGATAGTCATCTTTTCCCAGTCTGCTTCCAACCAGAAGAACACCTATATCTCCTAAATGTTCAGATTTTATAAACTAGTGTTTACTTTCCAATCGTCCTGTTTAGAGTGCATTTAGTGATTAGAAATTGATGGAACTTGCCATGCCTTTTATTCAGATCAGTGTTAGGAATGTCTGTCACCTTACCTACATTTCAGCACAAGTGAATAAGACCTTTGATTAAATAAATATTTTCAATCACATGGTGTTGTTGTTACTCAACTGTGTTGAATTCATTTCTGTTAACTCTCTCTGAGTGAAAAAGACGTGGGAAGGGTTTCATGATCATATTTCCCAGCATGCTTTGTTCTAGGTAGATTTTTAGAGTAGTTTGTTTTAATATCTATGTTTCCTCATACAAATTGATTGATTAATTGATCTTATACTATACAAAGATAAATAACTAATAACTAATCCAGTCTGTAAGGGTTTGGATTTATTGTACCCATTGCTGAGATGGTTGTTCCAGTTTAGATGGTTTAGGTAGTCTCCTTTGTTGGATCCTTCACCATAACAGTCATTCTGAGTGCAGGTTGTGGGTGATAAAATATTATGATTGTTGGATGTTCTCCCTCTGGTTTGATTTTGATAGCAGTTATATATCGCTTCTCAAACTTGTGTGTTGTGACTTGTGGGTATTATGAGGCCTGTGAGCCAGGATTTTCAGATGCCGATGGCCAGGATAGCTGATTGCCTTATAAAACGTGGTCATAAAGGTTTTACTTTCACTTAGGCGGTCACTTCAGGATTATACGTTTTTGAATGCAACAACCATGTATGTCTCTGTCACTAACAAACACAGTCGTATGTGGGTATTTCTCACATTCATTCGAAAGGTATGCTGGGAAATATGCAAATATAGCTTTACACCCTACAGCAGGGCTCTCCAACCCTGTTCCTAAAGAGCTACCGTCCTATAGGTTTTCGCTCCAACCCTAATCTAGTGCACCTGATTCTAATAATTAGCTAGTTGATAAGATGAATCAGGTCAGTTACAACTTGGGTTGGAGTGAAAACCTACAGGAGGGTAGCTCTCCAGGAACAGGGTTGGAGAGCCCTGTCCTACAGTGTTAAAACAACATCCCAGTGTTTATAACCTAAACACCTTGTGCTGAATAAACGTGTTCATGTGTTTACAAAGTGTTAGAGCAAATAAACATGTTCTGGTATGTAGAATCTAAACACTGTGATGCATTTTCATTGAAATTCTAAATGCCTTTAGGTGTTAAAAGTGTTTAGTTGTGTTCAGATCCTAAACACTTGATTTTATAGTGTAGCTATACAGAATGGTTGGCACGCACGCACGCACGCACGCACGCACGCACGCACGCACGCACGCACGCACGCACGCACGCACGCACGCACGCACGCACGCACGCACGCACGCACGCACGCACCTACCTGCGGGCCCCATCATCATCCACCCTGTTGTTCATAAGACTAGAATGGGAACCGGGAACCAGTCAGCCACTAATGAGTTCCCTGGAAACCTCAGGCAGGAAGCAGGCATTATGGGAGTCACTATTACATCACTGTACACTAGCCAAACAACACCACAGATGATGCAACCCAGCTCAATGCATATACAGTACAGCAGGGTTTTACAAACTCGGTCCTGGGGCTCCCCTGGGTGCACGTTTTGGTTTTTACCCTAGCACTACACCGCCGATTCAAATAACCAACTCATCATCAAGCTTTGATTATTTGAATCAGCTGTATAGTGCTAGGGCAAAAACCAAAACGTGCCCCCGGGGGACAAAACTGAGTTTGGAAAACCCTGCAGAACAGTGCTTAGAGAGGGAACAATTATAAAATGTTTGTGGTATTTATGATGCAAGGTTTGTGCTGGTTTGGCTAGCAAAGGGTTAGGCTAATCTCAAAATAACCCAGAGTGTATTAGAACAGTTGGCGAGTGTCCATATTATTGAACAAGCTGCCAATAAGTATAACTGATGCATAACAATCTCTCTTGCGTAGACTAAGTGATTTGTTGTCCAGTCACGTCTGTGGAGTTGTCTGTGGCATACAATAGGCAACTAATAATGCATTGCATTATTATGGACAAGTATATAAATAGAGTACAATACAATTGGACATAACAACATCACCTACTAGAGAGGATCAGGCCCTTTCTCGTCTCACCAATTAGTACCAATCACTGATTTCACACGAAGCTAAGACGTGTTCTGCAGAAGTCAGACTCTGAGCCCAGACCATAGAAATATCATGACTAGAATGGGCATTCCCATTCAAGTCGATGTTCTGTGATGAATGAATCGGTGGCCATGTTGAGTGTAGGCATACCCATCTCCATATCTTCCCTGTTCTCCCCTGTGTAGGTCCAGAACATGACCCAGTCCATCCAGGTGCTGGACCAGCGGACCCAGAGAGACCTGCAGTACGTGGAGAAAATGGAGGTGCAGCTGAGGGGTCTGGAGACCAAGTTCAGACAGGTGGAGGAGAGCCACAAGCAGAACATTGCCAAGCAATACAAGGTACAGCAGCAGACCAGCATACCTAAACCTATGTGGGCTATCACCATCACCATCACCACCACCACTCATCTGATAAAAACCACCTCCATCCACCATGGATCGGTTTATGTGTGTGCCCACTGCCCACTCTGGATATGGTCCAGCATCAGATGATGAACAACGACATTCTCACTCAAAAAGTATTTGAAAAAATAGTAGGGTGCTGGATCCTCACAGATAATCAATGGAGTGCACTCCCAAAAATGCAATTTCAATACTTCTCTATTATCCATGCATGTTTAATCAATGGTTAATGAATGAGTATTGATATTGAACCATTGGAGTGCTGTATATTTCCTTTTTCTATGGTTCACCATTACCAACCTCGTCTAGAGAGCTTTTTATATTCTCTAGGAAAAGCTCTCAGAATTTAATGCATCAGTATGTATCAAAATTAACTTTTGAATAGTAACATTTTGAATTCTCTCTTACTGAAAAACAGTCTTCTTCCTCCACAACAATAACCGTTATTACAACAACTACCACTGCCACAAATACTACTACTACTACTACTACTACTACTACTACTACTAATACTAGTAACGATAATGAATTCTAGTGTATGAGCTGGTACTGGTGGGATTCTGGACCATTCAGTGGGCACATGCAAAAACTATCATCAACCAGATATTCATTCATTGCTTAGCTCTCCTTCCTTCCTTCCTTCCTTCCTTCCTTCCTTCCTTCCTTCCTTCCTTCCTTCCTTCCTTCCTTCCTTCCTTCCTTCCTTCCTTCCTTCCTTCCTTCCTTCCCTCCCTCCTCCCTCTGCTCCCTGTTAAATGATTATCAACAATGCAAATTAAGCACCACATAGTTTTTTTATTGATTGAGTTGACTAATCAATGAGAGAGTAGATCCACCTGTAAGTCATAGCTAACCAACTACCCCTTTTAAACCACATAATCATAAGCTACACCTGCACATTGATGTTACTTTCCTGGCACTCTGAAAAATAGATACATTTTGTACATCTTTGGACATATTATACATCTCCACATAAACAGCAGTGTCGATGACAATTTCGAAACAACTATTTCCACCTCCTGCATTCCTTTCGGAGTGTCTACATTTCCAATGCATGTCCCCCACCTTCATATCATGAATGCAAAATCAAAGCCTGCTTAACATACTCTCTAATCCAGTGTGTATTACTGTGTGCGTTGTTTTGTGTCTGTTAGATAGGTTAGTGAGCTAGATGTCAACAGTGTGTTATGTTCTTGCTTGCAGGGCTAACTTTAGGACATGTAAAGAGAGAAGAAGGGGCAGGTCAATCCCATGTTCCACCTGAACTGGGCTACCACAGTACTGAGCATCAAACAGTTTATGATTTACCTTTAGCACCATTAGTACTACAACTAAGAAACCCCACCTATCGCCTTTCCCAACCAGCCAGCCTACCTACCTATCTGCCTACCACTGATCACTTCCTGCATGTTACTGTTACAACATTTTCCATACAAAAGCTTTTTCAAAAGTAAAAATTGAGTTATTTACAATGATTAATATTGTTATTATTATTATTATTATTATTATTATTATTATTATTATTATTATTATTATTATTATTATTATTACTATTATTATTATTATTATTATTATTATTATTATTATTATTATTATTGTTCTTTTACTTTAGTTTTTTGTCTATGTATATTTGGTTACTAAAGACTACAACGTACTTATAAACATTAGTGATAATAAAATCCCAAACCCTTTGTTGTGTGTGACATGTAAAAGCATGTAACTTTTAAAGATGTTGCATTTTAAACGATGATGACCAATAAAGAGCTTTCCCAATTGTTTTCTGGTGTACTGAGAGCTTGTGTTTAACGCAACGGCTCGTCTGCATCAGGATGGAGCCTCTGCTAGCTCGCCGATACGGTGGAACACACACTGGGTTTGTTCACTCAGACACACACATACACAGGTACAAACATTGTACACCCACAAACACTATCAAACAGGGTGTTGTTACAGAGTTGTGAATTGTCAGAGAGTCAGAGTAGGGAAGGCTAGAGTAGTCAGGGCCAGAAAGGTGTTTTCTCATTTTTTTTTTTTAACTTTTTTTGGAGTTTCTTCTTTTTTGTCGCCAAGCATGACACTGAACCCAGTTTATTTGAATCCTTTCAGGCCATAAAAGTGAAAATGGAGGAGCTTAGGCCGTTGATACCCGTGTTGGAGGAGTACAAGGCCGATGCCAAATTGGTATTGCAGTTTAAGGAAGAGGTCCAGAATCTGACGTCAGTTCTAAGCGAGCTCCAGGAGGAGATGGGAGCCTATGACTACGAGGAACTCCACAGCAGAGTGTCAAATCTTGAGGAGAGACTCCGAGCATGCATGCAAAAATTAGGTAGGCTGAGAAAGTTTCTGACACACACTCACACGCTATGGCTGCGTTTACACAGGCAGCCCAATTCAGATATTTTGCCAATAATTGGTCTTTTGACCAATCAGATCAGATCTTTTGTCAATAATTGGGCAAAAGATCAGAATTGGCTGTCTGTGTAAACACAGCCTTTACACATTTCTATTGTTCATGGACAAGTTCTTTATAGTTTTAGACTAAAGTTAGAGCTTCGGGCACATGTAGTACTCACCTCAGAAACATTCAACATCAAGGCATACAATGTACGCAATTGATACACCTTAAAAGAAACACACAATCCTTATTTTAACTCATTGGAACACACCTTAGCTTCTTTGGAAATCTCATGAGCAGACATACTATTACATACATTTGATCTATGCATTATGCAGTCAGGTCCATCAATATTTGGACATTGACCAAGTTATTATTATTTTAGCTGTCTACCACAGCATATTGGAGTTGAAATTAAATACTGAATGTGAACTGAAAGTGCAGACTTTCAGCTTTAATTTGAGGGTATTTACATCCAAATCGGGTGAACGGTGTAGGAATTGCAGCACTTTTTATATGTGGTCCCTCCCTTTTTAAGGGACCAAAAGTAATTGGACAATTGGCTGCTCAGCTGTTCCATGGCCTGGTGTGTGTTATTCCCTCATTAGTTCATTTACAAGTAAGCAGAAAAAAGGTCTAGAGTTGATTTAAAGTGTGGCATTTGCATTTGGAATCTGTTGCCGTTAACCCTCAATTTGAAGTTCAAAGAGCTGTCACTGCCAGTGAAGCAAGCCATCATTAGGCTGAAAGATCTAAACAAACCCATCAGAGAGATAGCAAAAACATTAGGTGTGGCCAAATCAACTATTTTGTACATTCTTAAAAAGAAAGAACGCACTGGTGAGCTCAGGAACACCAAAAGACCCGGAAGACCATGGAAAACAACTGTGGTGGATGACAGAATAATTATTTCCCTGGTGAAGAAAAACCCCTTCACAACAGTTGGCCAGATCAAGAATACACTCCAGGAGGTCGGTGTATCTGTGTCAAAGTAAACAATCAAGAGAAGACTTCACCAGAGTTTATACAGAGGGTTTACCACAAGATGTAAACCATTGGTAAGCCTCAAAAACAGGAAGTCCAGATTAGAGTTTGCCAAAAAAACATCTAAAAAAGCCTGTAGAGTTCTGGAACAACATCTTACGGACAGATGAGACAAAGATCAACTTGTACCAGAATGATGGGAGGAGAAGAGTATGGAGAAGGGAAGGAACTGCTCATGATCCGAAGCATACCACCTCATCTGTGAAGCATGGTGGAGGTAGTGCCTCCCGAGTGGCGCAGTGGTCTAAGGCCACTAGAGATCCTGGTTCGAATCCAGGCTCTGCTGTAGCCGGCCGCAACCGGGAGACCCATGGGGCGGCGCACAATTGGCCCAGCGTCGTCCAGTGTAGGGGAGGGAATGGCCGGTAGGGATGTAGCTCAGTTGGTAGAGCATGGCGTTTGCAACGCCATGGTTGTGGGTTCGTTTCCCATGGGGCCAGTATGAAAAAATAAAAATTAAATAATGTATGCACTCACTAACTGTAAGTCGCTCTGGATAAGAGAGTCTGCTAAATGACTAAAATGTAAAATGTAAATGTAGTGTTATGGCTGCCAATGGAACTGGTTCCCTTGTATTTATTGCTGATGTGACTACTGACAAAAGCAGCAGGATGAATTCTGAAGTGTTTAGGGCTATATTATCTGCTCAGATTCAGCCAAATGCTTCAAAACTCATTGGACGGCGCTTCACAGTGCAGATGGACAATGACCCGAGGAATACTGGAAAGCAACCCAAAACTTTTTTAAGGCAAAGAAGTGGAATGTTCTGCAGTGGCCAAGTCAATCACCTGACCTGAATCCAATTGAGCATACATTTCACTTGCTGAAGGCAAAACTGAAGCCAAAACGCCACAAGAACAAGCAGGAACTGAAGACCGCTGCAGTAAAGGCCTGGCAGAGCATCACCAGGGAAGAAACCCAGCATCTGGTGATGTCTATGGGTTCCAGAGTTCAGGCAGTCATTCACTACAAAGGATTTGCAACCAAGCATTAAAACTCACAAGTGAATTTATGATTGTTAGTTTGTCCAATTACTTTTGAGCTCCTAAAATTGCGGGACTATGTCTAAAATGGTTGTAATTCCTACACGCTTCATACACTAATTTTGACAAAACCCTTAAATTAAAGATGGAAGTCTACACTTAAAGCACATCTTGATTGTTTCCTTTCAAATCCATTGTGGTGGAGTACAGAGCCAAAATGATGCAAATTGTGTCACTGTCCAAATACTTATGTACCTGACTGTATGTATCTTTCACACAGGTGTTTCAAAACACCTGTTTCTCAATATTCTACAGGCCCATCTTTGTTTAGTCCCATTTTACACTCATTATCCCATATGTTTGCCTCAATCTAGCCTCTGGTTAGCCAATTAGCCAATGTGATATAGGTGAATTTGATTGACAACATAGATGAGTTGTATGCACAACTTATGCCCAATTTGAGGTGTGATTAACTTATTCATAAACGTATTCTGTCACACATATGCTAAACACACACACACTACTCTCTGTAACATACACACTCTCCCTCATTTTCTATTTCATGTTCTCTATCTCCCCCCCCCCCCCCCCCTATTTGGGACACACACGAGATCAATCCACATGCAAAGCCTCTTATCTATGTAGAGTTCTGTGAGGATGAAGAGAAACAACTGCAGGAGACAGTCCACCCAGTATAGTTACGAAATAATGACATTAAATGATTTTACAGCTTTTTAATGGACATTCCAAAGCCAGAAAAAAGTGAACATTCAATTTCCAAAACATTGGAAGTATTCCACTATCTCTGTCAGGTCCACATTGGGTAGACATCAATAGAAAAATAGGAAATTACTATGAAATAATTAAATGTACCGTATATCATCTCATCTCTGCTCAGGCAGTAGCAGACAAACAGCCAGACAATGTTCTCTCTGCTCCCCAAACTGTAGGCCTACTGTCTTTAGTCATCTTATTTAGCTAGGCTAGCCTGCCTATGTATGCTGCAGAGCTGTCTGACCAAATCGTTTTACTAGTTCTTCAAAGTAGTAGGCATACTTTCACGAACTGTCTCTATCACGCTCTCTCTTCGTTGTGTTGTGTACTTTCTTCTCTCATGCGGTCTGTGTGTATCTAATGTAACGTAGCAGGCGTAAAAGTGTATCCTAGTGATGGGTTGTTTGGCTCCCTGATTTGCATACTGTTACTACTGCTTTTTGAGCTCAAAACAATGTTTTTCTTCAGATAAGTTACAAAATAATTCTCTAAAGAGGGTGAATCCTCACTGCAGAAACAATAAAGAGTAGGGAGAGCGCATCAATCTGGTCCACGCAGATTTTGTCAGTGCCTAAAAACATCTAATAATTTGCCCCCCCCAAATACATTTTTTCACTCGCTTTTCACAATCTGACATAATGGTAGCCTACCTTTTGGGCTTTACATTGGAGATTTGCATTTTTTTCATTGTTTTACATCAATTTTTAAGCCAAATGAGCCGGCTCACCGAAAATACTCAGAATGTACATCAATAGTGTATCCATCGCTGTGCGAGCCGCAATGGATTATGGTCATTGTAGTTAATTACCATGTTTCTACGCTGAACTAGGTTGAATATTTGCTTAATGAAAACTATAACTCCCTTCAGCCCAGCGTCCCACTCTCTCGTGAATTATTTGATTTCTCTCTAGAGAAACAGCGAGTTGGGCTCAGAAAAAAACAGAACTAAATGGAATTCACACACACACAGCCACTGAACGCATTATGCAGCCACTCACACAGGAAACACAGGACACTCATACTCATTGGGACTGACCTGAGCAAGGTAAACAACTAGGTTTGCATCAGAAAACAGCAAATGGAGGGGGGAGAGAGAGGGAGAGAGTGGGGAGAGAATAAGAGACAAAGAAAAATGCAAAATCATAGAGCGACTGACAGAGAGAGAGCGACTCCGGAAATGAGAGACAGGAGGGAGTGATGGAGAGGGACATAGGGAATGAGTGAGCATGACAGAGTGAAGGATAAATAGTGAAGGAGACAGGTAAAGGGAGAGAAAGAGAGCTAGAGAGAGAGAGAGAAGGTGAGTTAGAGCTAGATAGAGAGTGCGATAGAGAGAGACACAGATGGATAGAGATAGAGAGACAGCTGAAGGAGAGCGAGAGATAGCGAGAATGGATTGCTGAAGGCCTTTCCTTCAGGCTGTTTTGTGGTAGAGAGAGTAACAGCGCTGTGACATTGGGGACACAATGGCCATCCATCACAGGGACATGGCATCTCACAGGGATATAATCAAATAAATAAATCACCCTGTAGTGCTCCTGGCTCTGGTTGTGCCGGTGACGTTCTGCATGACAGGGCGAGACGTGCAGCAGCTCCTTTCAGACCTGGGTTTAAATACTATTTGATATAATTTCAAATTCTTTAGCTGGGCTTGATTGAGCTAGACAAGTTGCAAAAGTGCAAACCCCGCCCATCTGGCACTTCATGCAGGCTAAAGCAAACACAATTTTTTGTGTAATATTTTAAATAGTATCTGAACCCAAGTCTGACTCCTGTGTGTGACATCACAGGCAGTGGAACGACACCATCACGTACTGATGGATAGAGCAGAAAGGCAATCTCACTTAGCTCCCCAGGCACCTACAGCTCTCTCTCTTTCACTGCTACACCTAGCCCCGAGATACCTATATCTCCCTCTCTATCACTGCTTCACATAGCCCCCAGACACATCTTTCTCCATCACTCTCCTTCTCCCTTTCTCTCTTATTCTCTCTCTCAAACACACAGTCACTCTTTCCCTCCCTCCCCCTCTCTCTCTCTCTCTCTCTCTCTCTCTCTCTCTCTCTCTCTCTCTCTCTCTCTCTCTCTCTCTCTCTCTCTCTCTCTCTCTCTCTCTCTCTCTCTCTCTCTTTTCTATTCTCTATATTTACACTCTTAGAAAAAAAGGTTCTATCTACAACCTAAAAGGGTTCTTCGGCTGCCCCCATAGGAGAACCCTTTGAAGAACCCTATTTGGTTCCAGCTAGAACTCTTTCCACAGAGGGTGCTACATGCAACCCAAAAGGGTTCTACCTGGAACCAAAAATGGGTTCTACCTGGAATCAAAAAGGGTTATCCTATGGGGACAGCCGAATAACCATGTGGTACCCTTTTTTCTAAGTGTATACATTACATCATGGCTATATCTTCCACTTTATCACTGCTGTCCTTTCTCTTTCTCTCTCTATGTCTCAGTAGACAATCCTCCTACTCTCTCCTATAGTCCTTCTCTCTGACCCCAGCTCAGTATATAAAACCTAAAGGTAATAAAACCAGTCTTCTCTATCTCTGAAATATCTCTGTCCCCTTCACACTAGGATCAGGCTGTTCCCTCTCTTATGTGTCCACATTCATTCACTGATTTGATCATCCTCAAATCATCATTGCATTCCACAATGTCTGACTGATGGTGTTTGGGTAATTTCAATTCTATAGTCTAGTAGTGATTTACATGAGATTTCCCCTAGTCTAAGTCTGGTTGGCTGGAGCCATATTCAGGCCAATAGGGGATTTGATTAGACCTCATGTGCATATCTCTCCCAGAGGTCCAGACCAAAAGGTAATCAAATAAAATAAAATGTTATTTGTCAAATGCGCCGAATACAACAGGTGTAGACCTTACAGTGAAATGCTTATTTACAAACCCTTAACAAACAATGCCGTTTTAAGAAATAATACCTAAAAATAAAATAAAAGTTACAAATAATTAAAGAGCAGCAGTAAAATAACAATAGCGAGGCTATATTTTTAGGGCCTTCCTCTGACACCACCTGGTATAGAGGTCCTGGGTGGCAGGAAGCTTGGCCCCAGTGATGTACTGGGCCGTATGCACTACCCTCTGTAGTGCCTTGCGGTCGGAGGCCGAGCAGTTGCCATACCAGGCAACCTTTTGAGGATCTGAGGACCCATACCAAATATTTTCAGTCTCCTTAAGGGGAATAGGTTTTGTCTTGCCCTCTTCACGACTGTCTTGGTGTGCTTGGACCATGTTAGTTTGTAGGTTATGTGGACACCAAGGAACTTGAAGCTCTCAACCTGCTCCACTACAGCCCTGTCTATGAGAATGGGGGCGTGCTCGGTCCTCTTCTTTTTCCTGTAGTCCACAATCATCTCCTTTGTCTTGATCACGTTTAGGGAGAGGTTGTCCTGGCACCACACGGCCATGTCTCTGACCTCCTCCCAATAGGCTGTCTTATCGTTGTCGGTGATCAGGCCTACCACTGTTGTGTCATCGTAAAACGTAATGATGGTGTTGGAGTCATGCCTGGCCATGCAGTCATGGGTGAACAGGGAGTACAGGAGGGGACTAAGCACGCACCCCTGAGGGGCCCCCGTGTTGAGGATCAGTGTGGCAGACGTGTTGTTACCTACCCTTACCACCTGGGGGCGGCCCGTCAGAAAGTCCAGGATCCAGTTGCAGAGGGAGGTGTTTAGTCCCAGGGTCCTTAGCTTAGTGATGAGGTTTCAGGGCACTATGGTGATGAACGCTGAGCTGTAGTCAATGAATAGCATTCTCACATAGGTGTTCCTTTTGTCCAGGTGTGAAAGGGCAGTGTGGAGTGTAATAGAGATTGCATCATCTGTGGATCTGTTGGGGCGGTATGCAAATTGGAGTGGGTCTATGGTTTCTGGGATAATGGTGTTGATCTAAAGATTATTACTATAGTCTGGTACTCCCACCAAAGTATTATGTAAGGGGCTGCTAGTATTGGTGCTTGTTTGCACATGTGATGTTGTGTTTGTCTCGCTGCTGCAGATGTTTTCAAAGTGTGACTGTGAAAAAGGAATACAGTTGTCATAGAAATTGTGAGGGGTGAAGATGGACATGTGAGAGAGACTGAGGGTGGTGAAATGAAAAGAAGGAGCAAAAATCTAATCTGGATTCTATGACTCCATCACATAACTGCATTTCACAACCACTTTAGTGCCAGACAGAGAATTGGAGAAGGAGGGAGCGAGCGGGATAGAGAGAAGCATAGAGAGAGAGAAGCATAGAGAGTGAGGCATAGAGAGAGAGAAGCATAGAGAGAGAGACGCATAAAGAGAGAAGCATAGAGAGAGAGAAGCATAGGGAGAGAGAAGCATAGGGAGAGAAGCATAAAGAGAGAGAAGCAAAGAGAGAGAAGCATAGAGAGAGAAGCATAGAGAGAGAGATGCATAGAGAGAGAGAAGCATAGAGAGAGAGAAGCATAGAGAGAGAAGCATAGAGAGAGAGAAGCATAGAGAGAGAAGCATAGAGAGAGAAGCATAGAGAGAGAAGCATAGAGAGAGAAGCACAGAGAGAGAGAAGCATAGAGAGAGAGAAGCATAGAGAGAGAGAAGCATAGAGAGAGAAGCATAGAGAGAGAGAAGCATAGAGAGAGAGAGAGAGAGAGAGAAGCATAGAGAGAGAATTAGACCTTTTAAATTGTTATATACAGTGGGGGAAAAAAGTATTTAGTCAGCCACCAATTGTGCAAGTTCTCCCACTTAAAAAAATGAGAGAGGCCTGTAATTTTCATCATAGGTACACGTCAACTATGACAGACAAAATGATTTTAAAAAATCCAGAAAATCACATTGTAGGATTTTTAATGAATTTATTTGCAAATTATGGTGGAAAATAAGTATTTGGTCACCTACAAACAAGCAGGATTTCTGGCTCTCACAGACCTGTAACTTATTCTTTAAGAGGCTCCTCTGTCCTCCACTCGTTACCTGTATTAATGGCACCTGTTTGAACTTGTTATCAGTATAAAAGACAACTGTCCACAACCTCAAACAGTCACACTCCAAACTCCACTATGGCCAAGACCAAAGATCTGTCAAAGGACAACAGAAACAAAATTGTAGACCTGCACCAGGCTGGGAAGACTGAATCTGCAATAGATAAGCAGCTTGGTTTGAAGAAATCAACTGTGGGAGCAATTATTAGGAAATGGAAGACATACAAGACCACTGATGATCTCCCTCGATCTGGGGCTCCACGCAAGATCTCACCCCGTGGGGTCAAAATGAATACAAGAACGGTGAGCAAAAATCCCAGAACCACACGGGGGGACCTAGTGAATGACCTGCAGAGAGCTAGGACCAAAGTAACAAAGCCTACCATCAGTAACACACTACGCCGCCAGGGACTCAAATCCTGCAGTGCAAGACGTGACCCCCTGCTTAAGCCAGTACATGTCCAGGCCCGTCTGAAGTTTGCTAGAGTGCAATTGGATGATCCAGAAGAGGATTGGGAGAATGTCATATGGTCAGATGAAACCAAAATAGAACTTTTTGGTAAAAACTCAACTCGTCGTGTTTGGAGGACAAAGAATGCTGAGTTGCATCCAAATAACACCATACCTACTGTGAAGCATGGGGGTGGAAACATCATGCTTTGGGGCTGTTTTTCTGCAAAGGGACCAGGACGACTGATCCGTGTAAAGGAAAGAATGAATGGGGCCATGTATCGTGAGATATTGAGTGAAAACCTCCTTCCATCAGCAAGGGCATTGAAGATGAAACGTGGCTGGGTCTTTCAGCATGACAATGATCCCAAACACACCGCCTGGACAACGAAGGAGTGGCTTCGTAAGAAGCATTTCAAGGTCCTGGAGTGGCCTAGCCAGTCTCCAGATCTCAACCCCATAGAAAATCTTTGGAGGGAGTTGAAAGTCCGTGTTGCCCAGCGACAGCCCCAAAACATCACTGCTCTAGAGGAGATCTGCATGGAGGAATGGGCCAAAATACCAGCAACAGTGTGTGAAAACCTTGTGAAGACTTACAGAAAACGTTTGACCTGTGTCATTGCCAACAAAGGGTATATAACAAAGTATTGAGAAACTTTTGTTATTGACCAAATACTTATTTTCCACCATAATTTGCAAAGAAATTCATTAAAAATCCTACAATGTGATTTTCTGGATTTTGTCTGTCATAGTTGACGTGTACCTATGATGAAAATTACAGGCCTCTCTCATCTTTTTAAGTGGGAGAACTTGCACAATTGGTGGCTGACTAAATACTTTTTTCCCCCACTGTATATTGTTTTCCATTAGCATACTAAACAAGTTCAGTGATATAAATCAACTCATCAAAAATGATCTAATTCACCTTCAATTCATCAAACAAAGCGTTAAATCCATTTAACAAAATATTGCCTTTCAAATGAATGAACCATAATCTCAGTGTGTTTGAGCTGTTTGCTCTTTAGTTAACATTAAGATCTAACCACTGGAACGAGGTTGTTCCCCATCTGTTTAAAGGAAACAGCCCATTAGTCCAACTACCTGGCTGTCATCAGGGAGGGAGGCACAGCCGAGCATTCAGCGCTAGATATGTCAACTTCATATTAACACCTCAATCAAGCCTAATTAACAATATGCTCAGCTCACACAGTTTAGAACAAATAGAAGCAGGAGCAACAGCACAATCCTACACAACTGGAATAACAATTAAATCACAGACACAAACATAAGCACAGAATACCAAAGACCATTACCTCTATTCTCTCAGGATGACAGACAGATGGAGGAACGAACATAGACACACACAGCAATAAAACACACACATTCCATTCTCCTTTTGTGAATGAAGGCTACAAGTGAATGTTTTGTAAATTATGCTATTATGTGCAAGTACAAGATGCTTTCTTTATTACAGCACGCTAGACAATATAAATCATACAGATGTGCCCTTGAATGCTGAATCTATGAGAAGTATATGTATCTATGAGAGGTATTTCTATGTTCGTTATTCCTTCACAGCATGTGGGAAGTTGACGGGTATCAGTGATCCTGTCACCATCAAGACGTCTGGATCCAGATTCGGATCCTGGATGACCGACCCTGCAGCGCCGGAGGGAGATACACGGGTAAGACACAGACAATGAATCAATTTTTTTTATAAAGCCCTTTTTACATTACATTTACATTTACATTTTAGTCATTTAGCAGACGCTCTTATCCAGAGCGACTTACAGGAGCAATTAGGGTTAAGTGCCTTGCTCAAGGGCACATTAACGTCATTTAGCAGACGCTCTTAGCCAGAGCGACTCACAAATTGGTGCGTTCACCCTATAGCCAGTGGGATAACCACTTTACAATTTGGGGGGGGGGTAGAAGGATTACTTTATCCTATCCCAGGTATTCCTTAAAGAGGTGGGGTTTCAAATGTCTCCGGAAGGTGGTGAGTGACTCCGCTGTCCTGGCGTCGTGAGGGAGCTTGTTCCACCATTGGGGTGCCAGAGCAGCGAACAGTTTTGACTGGGCTGAGCGGGAACTATGCTTCCGCAGAGGAAGGGGAGCCAGCAGGCCAGAGGTGGATGAACGCAATGCCCTCGTTTGGGTGTAGGGACTGATCAGAGCCTGAAGGTACAGAGGTGCCGTTCCCCTCACTGCTCCATAGGCAAGCACCATGGTCTTGTAGCGGATGCGAGCTTCAACTGGAAGCCAGTGGAGTGTGCGGAGGAGGGGGGGTGACGTGAGAGAACTTGGGAAGGTTGAACACCAGACGGGCTGCGGCATTCTGGATGAGTTGTAGGGGTTTAATGGCACAGGCAGGGAGGCCAGCCAACAGCGAGTTGCAGTAGTCCAGACGGGAGATGACAAGTGCCTGGATTAGGACCTGTGCCGCTTCCTGTGTAAGGCAGGGTCGTACTCTCCGAATGTTGTAGAGCATGAACCTGCAGGAGCGGGTCACCGCCTTGATGTTGGCGGAGAACGACAGGGTGTTGTCCAGGGTCACGCCTAGGCTCTTCGCACTCTGGGAGGAGGACACAGCGGAGTTGTCAACCGTGATGGCGAGATCATGGAACGGGCAGTCCTTCCCCGGGAGGAAGAGCAGCTCCGTCTTGCCAGGGTTCAGCTTGAGGTGGTGATCCGTCATCCATACTGATATGTCTGCCAGACATGCAGAGATGCGATTCGCCACCTGGTTATCAGAAGGGGGAAAGGAGAAGATTAGTTGTGTATCGTCAGCGTAGCAATGATAGGAGAGACCATGTGAGGATATGACAGAGCCAAGTGACTTGGTGTATAGGGAGAAAAGGAGAGGGCCTAGAACTGAGCCCTGGGGGACACCAGTGGTGAGAGCACGTGGTGCGGAGACAGCTTCTCGCCACGCCACTTGGTAGGAGCGACCGGTCAGGTAGGACGCAATCCAGGAGTGAGCCGCGCCGGAGATGCCCAGCTCAGAGAGGGTGGAGAGGAGGATCTGATGGTTCACAGTATCAAAGGCAGCAGACAGGTCTAGAAGGACAAGAGCAGAGGAGAGAGAGTTAGCTTTAGCAGTGCGGAGAGTCTCCGTGACACAGAGAAGAGCAGTCTCAGTTGAATGACCAGTCCTGAAACCTGATTGGTTTGGATCAAGAAGGTCATTCTGAGAGAGATAGCAAGAGAGTTGGCTAAAGACGGCACGCTCAATAGTTTTGGAAAGAAAAGAAAGAAGGGATACTGGTCTGTAGTTGTTGACATCAGTGGGGTCGAGTGTTGGTTTTTTGAGAAGGGGAGCAACTCTCGCTCTCTTGAAGACGGAAGGGACATGGCCAGCGGTCAAGGATGAGTTGATCAGCGAGGTGAGGTAGGGGAGAAGGTCACCGGAGATGGTCTGGAGAAGGGAGGAGGGGATGGGGTCAAGCGGGCAGGTTGTTGGGCGGCCTGCAGTCACAAGTCGCAGGATTTTATCTGGAGAGAGAGGGGAGAAAGAAGTCAAAGCATAGGGTAGGGCAGTGTGAGCAGGACCAGCAGTGTCATTAGACTTAACAAACGAGGATCGGATGTCGTCAACCTTCTTTTCAAAGTGGTTGACGAAGTCATCCACAGAGAGAGAGGAGGGGGGGGGGGGGGGGGGGGGATTCAGGAGGGAGGAAAATGTGGCAAAGAGCTTCCTAGGGTTAGAGGCAGATGCTTGGAATTTAGAGTGGTAGAAGGTGGCCTTAGCAGCAGAAACAGATGAAGAAAATGTAGAGAGGAGGGAGTGAAAAGATGCCAGGTCGGCAGGGAGTTTAGTTTTCTTCCATTTCCGCTCCGCTGCCCGGAGCTCTGTTCTGTGAGCTCGCAATGAGTCATCAAGCCACGGAGCTGGAGGGGAGGACCGAGCCGGCCGGGAGGATAGGGGACACAGAGAGTCAAAGGATGCAGAAAGGGAGGAGAGGAGGGTTGAGGAGGCAGAATCAGGAGATTGGAGGGAGAAGGATTGAGCAGAGGGAAGAGATGATAGGATGGAAGAGGAGAGAGTAGTGGGAGAGAGAGAGCAAAGGTTGCGGCGGCGCATTACCATCTGTGTAGGGGCAGAGTGAGTAGTGTGGGAGGAGAGCGAGAGAGAAAAGGAAACAAAGTAGTGGTCGGAGACATGGAGGGGAGTTGCAGTGAGATTAGTAGAGGAGCAGCATCTAGTGAAGATGAGGTCAAGCGTATTGCCTGCCTTGTGAGTAGGGGGGGACGGTGAGAGGGTGAGGTCAAAAGAGGAGAGGAGTGGAAAGAAGGAGGCAGAGAGAAATGAGTCAAATGTGGACATAGGGAGGTTGAAATCCCCCAAAACTGTGAGGGGTGAGCCATCCTCAGGAAAGGAACTTATCAAGGCGTCAAGCTCATTGATGAACTCTCCAAGGGAACCTGGAGGGCGATAGATGACAAGGATATTAAGCTTAAATGGGCTAGTGACTGTGACAGCATGGAATTCAAATGAGGAGATAGACAGATGGGTTAGGGGAAAAATTGAGAATGTCCACTTGGGAGAGATGAGGATTCCTGTATCACCACCCCTCTGACCAGATGCTCTCGGGGTATGCGAGAACACATGGTCAGACGAGGAGAGAGCAGTAGGAGTAGCAGTGTTTTCAGTGGTGATCCATGTTTCCGTCAGCGCCAGGAAGTCGAGGGACTGGAGGTTGGCATAGGCTGGGATGAAGTCAGCTTTGTTGGCAGCAGAACGGCAGTTCCAGAGGCTGCCTGCGACCTGGAACTCCAGGTGTGGGGTGCGTGCAGGGACCACCAGGTTAGAGAGGCAGCAGCCGCGCGGTGTGGTGCGTTTGTGTAGCCTGTGCAGAGAGGAGAGAACAGGGATAGGCAGAGGCATAGTTGACAGGCTGTAGCAAATGGCTACAAAAATGCAGAGGAGATCGGAATGAAATGAGCTAAGCATCTGGGAGAGGAGAGAGCAGGGCCTCCCTCACCAAAAACTTCTACCTCAGAAACTAAAATTGTTTCACTGAACCACCCGAACAAAAACTCTCCCAGCTTCCACCTTTAGAAATCAGAATTGTTGTGAACCACAGCGGTTCAATGTTTAAAGGAATAGACTCAACCCACTTTATTCAGCTAGCTAACTATGACACCATAGATAACTAGCATGCTAGCATCCAATAACACACAGTTTAACACACAGTTTAGCACCAACACTTGGTCACAACAAACCACCAATAGTGTGTTAACTAGCTAACTAGCATGCTAGCATCCAGTAACACACAGTTTAGCACCAACACTTGGTCACAACAAACCACCAATAGTGTGATAACACACTAAACAGATCATTCGTGTCTGTGTCAAGTTCCTTTCATGACGCAGCAATGATTAAACGTTGGCTAGCTAGGACAAGTATATTGTATTTAGCTACTTCCGTACAGTTAGCTGGTCGTGTTGGGTAGCTAGCAATGGCCACTGTGTTGACTTTGTTTGAAGAACGGCTAGCTAGCTAGCTTCGTGCTACACCCGGCACACAATGGCTATTGTGTTGACTCTGACTCTGTTCGAAAAAAAACGGCTAGTTAGCTCGCTTCGTGCTACAGCCGGCACGGCCGAAGACACTGCCAAGACACACCAATAGTGTGATAACACACTAAACAGATCATTCGTGTCTGTGTCAAGTTCCTTTCATGACGCAGCAATGATTAAACGTTGGCTAGCTAGGACAAGTATATTGTATTTAGCTACTACAGTACAGTTAGCTGGTCGTGTTGGGTAGCTAGCAATGGCCACTGTGTTGACTTTGTTTGAAGAACGGCTAGCTAGCTAGCTTCGTGCTACACCCGGCACACAATGGCTACTGTGTTGACTCTGACTCTGTTCGAAAAACGGCAAGTTAGCTCGCTTCGTGCTACAGCCGGCACGGCCGAAGACACTGCCAACCTACAGTAACTACCCACAAGCTATGACGCCATAGCTAACTAGCAAGCTGGCATCCATTAACACACAATTTAGCACCAATACTTGGTTACAACAAACTGCCAAGAGTGTGTTAGCACACTAAACAAATAATTCATGTCCGTGTTCATCAGCAGATGCCACAAAGTATTTATACAGAGACCCAGCCTAAAACCCCAAACAGCCAGCAATGCAGATGTAGAAACACAGTGGCTTGGAAAAGCTCCTTAGAAAGGCAGAAACCTAGGAAGAAACCTAAAGAGGAACCAGGCTCTGAGGGGTAGCCAGTCCTCATCTGGCTCTGCCAGGTGGAGATTATAAGAGTACATGGCCATTAAATCCAGATTATTCTTCAAGATGTTCAAACCTTCATAGATGACCAGCATGGTCAAATATTAATCACAGTGGTTGTAGAGGGTGCAACAGGTCAGCACCTCAGGAGTAAATGTCAGTTGGCTTTTCATAGCCGAGCATTCAGAGGTCAAGACAGCAGGTGCGGTAGAGAGAGAGAGAGGGAGAGTCGAAAACAGCAGGTACGGGACAAGGTAGCACGTCCGAGAGTGAGAATTAGAGGGAGCATACTTACATTAACACAGGACACCAGATAGGACAGGAGAATTACACCGGTCTCGGACAGTGAAGACTCGTAATTTCTTCCTGGGACCAGCCG